AGGACGAGATGTTGAGTGTGTGCGTGTGTGTGTGTGTGTATGGCTGGCCCTGCTAACTAAAACCAATAAACCCTATGCTAGCAGTCGTCAGGCTGTGAAACTGGATTGCTGCACCACAAAGGCCTGTCAGCAACTGGGCTGGCGTCTGCCCAGATAGCCTACAAGCCAAACAGCCCGCGAGCTGTCACACTAGCACTGTGGGGTTGTGCTGATGACACAAACACAGAGTCCCGAGGTGAGGGACCCAAACTAATGGAGATAGGACCAAGCCTTGAAGCAAAACTAATAGCAAAACCAACAACCGCCATATTTGAAAATACCCTGCAGCAGATGATAGGGAAAACCATCAACCTTGCTCAGCCTGTCGGTGAATAAAAGACTAGAGCTCGTCCAGGTCAGAGAGGACGATCTCCTTTGTAAATTCTTCCCAGGAAGAGGGGATTTGTCCTTTCCCCTCAAATTTTCCGGAATATTCTTCTTCTATCTGAGAGCGGAAATGGCACACAAACCATTTCCAGTACCTCTCTCCTGGCTGGACACAGCATCCTCCCTTGCTCCTGTTCCCTTCACCCGGCCAGACAGCCTCCTCCCAGCCTGCTTCTGCACCCCACCTCCCTCCCAGATCCTGCACCCCATCCCTTTCTTATTTGCTAGCTGCCCTGTCTCGTGCACTGTACCCCTCATTTTTGTCCCTACTCTAGAGCCTAAGGAGGTCCGTAATATCCATTAACTCTGGAACCCTAAAAAAATAAATCTGGTCTATGGGAAGCCTTGAACCTCAGTCCACTCCTTCCCTTCCCCCACACCATGAGGCTGGGGCACCAGAGGAGTGAGGTGCCTCAGTTGGGGCCACATTAGGGAGGGTTGGGGGTTAGAGAGGAGTTTTTTGGATTCTCACTTGTGTGGTCCCCAACTGGTTTTCTGTGGGTCAGTGACCTCCGACCCAAAAAGGGTTCCCCACCTCTGCCATAAATAAAGAAAACACCGAAACCGTTTGTGTTGGGTGTAATATTTTACTGTATTTAAAATGACATTTGATAGACTAACACGAGAAGGTTAAAACACTTCGTCTGTTTCATAATTTAAATTAAGCCGTTCTCCCTAGCTGCAGCTGGTTCAGAAAATAAGGTCACCGTACCCAGCCTGCCTTTGCCTCCCCTCCCCCTCCTTCTCCTGGCACACGGATCCGTAAATAAGTTAAATCTCAGGGCACCACTTCTGAAAGATTGCTAACCCCTGCGCTCAAAGGTAAGATCTGCATCTTAATGTATTGACTAACTCAGCGGCTGTAAGCAGCACTATTATTGACTTTAAAAAGAATGACCGGCACTCAGACCCACACTGAGAGGTGAATAAGTCCAATCTCAGCCCTCCACCTCCACATGAGCCCTTTCAACTGCTTCTATTTAAAGGGTTCGTGCTTGCTGGGCAGCTGCGTTGCCTTGTAGCCACCTGGCAAGCCCAGGCCCTTTAAACAGAAGCAATTGAAAGGGCTCCCAGCTCTCGGTCCCACTGGCCGGTTGCCTGGGAGCTGCCCGGGATGTGTGAGCCCTTTCTACTGCTTCTATTGAAAGGGCTTGTGCCGGGCGGCTGCCAGGCAGCAGGTTAGCAGCAGGA